TTGTAGTCTCATCCACTGGTAACTTGTGTGCATTCTTATTAAACGTGCTTAGCAACCTGGTATTAAAGAAATACAAGTGTCAGCTTCTTCAAATTAAAATAAAAAATCAATTATGCTCTTATGGGCAGATGGAGATTAAGCTGAATACAATGTAAATGTGCACTATTGTGGAAACCAAGCCCTTTATGTTCAATTAGTGGCATTTCATTCTTAATCTTCCTCCTTAATACACAAGGAGCCATTAAAAACAGTAAAAGCAATCCAATGCATGTTTCATAGCCTCAGAGAGTTGCCTTCAAATGCATTGATTTGATTTTGTGTGTGTGGATCAAACAAATTACTTGAATAACTCTTTAATTTTTCACTATTATTTTGGGGGGTGGCAGTAGATGGGAGTTGGAAAGAGGGAAGAGAATGTCAAATGTTTCATTGCATCTTGGGATTTGGTTGCAAGGAATATAACACCTGAGAGTAATTCTTAGAGGCTTTTTTGCCCAAATTTGTGTTCACCTGGTTGGAAATTGCAAAGATGCTCCCCAGGGAAGTTTAGCACAAGGCACAGCAGAGACATGCTCCTGGGATGGTGCCAGTGTCTGGGAAAATGCTGGGCCATTTCTGCCCCAAATTGGCCAGCCCATAAATCTTATTTGTGATTGAAAAGGTGGGAGTGCCTGGGTTATCTTCAGCGCTCATTCTGCAAGCAGGGCCTGCGGAAAGTCAGAATATAAGACATGAGAATATAAGACATAAGACATGGTAGTCCTTGTCCATCTGCGATTTTGGCCTTGTTCTGCAGCTAAAGAGGCTGCTGTACCGTGCTGTGCCTTCCCATATCTGTAATCTACAACCATTTGCATCCTTCTCCTGTGAGTGCAGGCCGGGGTCCTTATGACTCAGTTTCCCCAACTTGCCTTCCCAGGGCTGACCTTTGAGGCCAAGTCAACCAGGAGGTGCTTTCCTACTAGGCAAAAGCCTACAAATGAACAAAATATATAAGAAAAGCTGTTACAAAGTGGTAGAAATGAGCAAGCCCTTGGTATGAGAGTACATTTCCTCCATAGCATGAGTATGATCAATAAAACACGTAGCTGTGAACCTCAGTATTGAACCTCACTGCTGTGATTTATTTACTATAGCATGTGTTTCCTGTATGCTGAGCCTTTATGCTCTTTAGCCTTGAGACCTCACTTTCTAGGGATTCCTGGGCTGTAGATGTGATGCACCAGCTCAGATTTTCCTCTGGGTATTCCTAAAGGAGAGAAGGATCTTGAGTCACAGGTCATCATCGCAATTCACCAGCATGCTGAATATATAAATATATATATATATATA